AGAGAGAGAGAGAGAGAGAGAGAGAGAGAGAGAGAGAGAGAGAGAGAGAGAGAGAGAGAGAGAGAGAGAGAGAAGGTGAAGATTGGGGGGGACAAGCAAGCGTAAGGAGATGACAATATTGCAGAATCTGTGCGAGTGAAACCAAGGGAAATGTGAATGTGGAAGATCTGTTAACTTTTGCACTATCATTATTTTTTCATGAGAAGTACTGGAGAGATGAAAGAGCGAGGACTGACTGAGTCCATATGCATCGTGGTTCTCAATGCACAAGTAGGCAAAGCGTTAACCCATGGTCAATATGCATTCCTCCAGGCCCGACAGAGCCGGTCGACAACGGCATTACCCAGACAAGTTCGCCAGACCGCCAGCGGCGCTGGGACAGGGGGTCCAAGCTGTACAAGTTCTGGGCATTCTGTACAGCAAATCCAGATCAGGGATTACCAGGCAGGCTGGAATCTGGCCTTCCAGGTCAAGAATTACATGGTATGGACATGGTTGGACTGCACTTGGGCGGACGGAGCACATATCCAGCAAAAGCAAATATGTTGTTTATACTACTTTATAGTCAACTTTTATGAGGAAAAACGTTCCCTAAGTGATTCGGAAAAAGGGCAATTTGAACTTCTCAGGACTTCTCAGGACTTCTCAGGACTTCTCAGGACTTCTCAGGACTTCTCAGGACTTCTCGGGACTTCTCAGGACTTCTCAGTCCTGATCAGGACTGATCAGGACTTCGCAGGACTTCAAAGACAATGAATGAGAGAACAACTGTTTCAGCCACTCTAGTATTCATAATGAAGAAGTTGATGGATCACTGGTGCCGATGGAGAGTCTCAAGGTCATTGTACGTGATTTTTTCTACCTTTTTTTTTTTTTTTTTTTTTTTTTTTTTTTTTTTTTTTTTTTTTTTTTTTTTTTTTTTGTGATCCTGGTTGGTCCAATCTATTGGTGGGGAGATGGACTCTGTTTTTTTCTACCGTGTCCTGTGTTTAGTTCGTTTTCTCTAGAAACAATGGACGCAACTGGTCCTATTTTGGGACAAAATACATGTCCACGAAGGCAGGCAAATAAATTGCGTAAGGAGAGAGGGGAACAAATCATGTTTGTGCAGGCATAGACCCTCTCTGACACGTGTTTTCTTTTTTCGTTTTTGTTTGTTTCTTTTGAAGAAACAGCCCCGTGGGACAGCTTGAGATGCTGGTAGTAGGAGCAGTCGCCTCAAGCTGTCCAGGGGTGGCTCCATCTATTGGTGGGGAGCAGCACCTGCTGGGAAGCAGGCCCAGCGTCCCCTGTTACAATTGCTCAATACAGAATTAGCATCAGAGTATTTTGGACCAAGTAAGGGAAGTGTCTGTCTGTGAAGCCCGACCACTGGCCGGTACTGGAATGCCTAACATTACTATCTCTGTTCCCCCCCCCTCACTTTATCGTATTTGCTCAGAAGGTTTAGGGTGGGGTGGGTCGGATAACCCTCCCCCCCACCCACTTCCCGCCGCCGCCGCCGCCAGGATCTTCGAACCCTTTCTCTGACTCTTGTTGACTCCAACTTGAATGCTAGAAAAAATTTCAAGGGTTTAACGGGTTAAGGAAAAGTTGGAAAACGAAGACAGTGAAACCCTTGAAATTTTTTCTAGCATTTCACCATTTCACCGAATGATGGCGAGTGGACTCCCACCATTTCACCTGTTGTGCACCTTGGACCTCCATTATGCATCCATTCGCCATCATTCGGGTTTCGTTCACATAACCATGTCATCTGTCGTTCCTCCTCTTGTCACCTACCCTTTCTCACCTATCACCTATTCTTTTTTCTCACCTAATAAAGGTCAATGGTCATCCCCAGATCCAGTTGCAGTTCAGGTCTTCAAGTTCATCCTTTGTGCTGTACTTAGATTTACAGTTGGCTGTTACAGTCATCACTGTTCACCAGCCATCTGGCCTAGCTACAGTTTGCTTAGGGGCACTTGCTGTCCATTATAGCTGTCATTGCATTTTGTGATGCTTGCCAGCTTTCTATTCATGTGTTTGTCAGTCACAAGCACCTGAAGCACATTGGTTCTCTGATGACTACCACCCTCAACACTGGTTTCCCACCAGCTCTTCCCCCCTCCTCCCCCCCCTCTCCTCCAAAAAACACACAAAGCCACTTCTATTCTGGGGGGCATCAGTCCGGTTGCTTATTACCAGCAAGCATGAAGAAAGGAGAGAAAGAATAGAGAAGAAAGATCGGCCGTACCCTTGCAGCACTAGCCACGTATACAAGGGAGAGAGAGGCTGTCACGAGGAGTCCCGCCCCCCAAACCATGGCCTTTCTTCGGGGGTGCTCCTGCTGGCCGGGAGGCTTAGTGGCAGCACCCAGTCACACAGCAGGAGAATCCCAAGAACCGTGGGGTGCAGGGAGGGCGTTTCTAGCAGTCTCACAGGCCGCATGTATCAAAGCCCTGCCTCCCAGGCCCCACATGTCTCAATGCCCCCCTATCCATCGCAGCTCGCATCCTTGGTTCCTTTGTTCCCTTTACTAGTGTGTCTAGTCCTTTGCCCTACCTTAGCTGTGCCTCTTTAGCTTCCACAGTCCTAAACTTGCAGGCTTGTGGGCCACGTGTGTGTGTAGCGGAAAAAAAAAAACAAGAGGAGAAGATGCAACTTGCAGGCTTGGATTCTCTTCATGGCATATGCCCTTATGCTCTCCGTGGATAAGCATGGAAACGTTGAGTCAAATCTGGAAGTTGACGATAGCTGAGTTCCCACGAGTCAAATCTGGGAGTCGGTTACTTACCTGGCGAGGTCTTAGAAGCATTCTAATGGGTTTGTTTGTTCACAAAGAATAGGAAGAGAGAAAGTGAAAGAAAAAAGAAGGAAAAAGAACCCCTCCCCCCCACACACACAAAAAAAAAAGACATAAAGAGGGTTCTTGATTGAATGCTTGGTTGTAGTGATAGAGTAGAGGGGACTCAGCAGAGTCAGCACACACCTGTCCATGCTGCAGAGTCTTGTACCCAGCATTCTGCAGAGTGTAGTCGAGCTTTGTCTGAAGAGCCAATGCATCCCGCTCATATTGTTCGAAATCCTTCTTCAGCTGACTAACCTCGTTATTCAGATTCAAAATCTCATTCGTCTTCATCTTTGAGTACGTCTGCAGGTCGGCACGTGTAACCTCATTCTTCTCGGCACAAAGTTGAGCATGTTGCTTCAGATCCCCATTTGTTGCCTCAAGAGTTGCATACCTGCAAAGCCCAGGCTCAAAATTAATGTCTCATCAGTGCAATTAGTACCATCTTCACCGGGATGGAACGATACACAGAAGAATATTAGCATGGCCCCTGCGCCCAAAAAAAAAAGAGAAAAAGAAAAAGAAAGAAGAAGAAGAAGAAGAAGAAGAAGAAGAAGAAGAAGAAGAAGAAGAAGAAGAAGAATGCCCGATCGTTATATATTTGTAATTGTCGACTTTCAGTCTAATAGATACAGCGACAATGACTGGGTGTAGTTCTATTCGTGGATGAAGACGATAGCAACTGCCAAAGAGGTTTGAGAGAGAAGACAATTAAATTTTAAACCACCAGTGTCTCTTAAACCGCCAGTACCTTTTCCCAGCTATGGGCCACGGGCCCTGCGCACCGAGTTTCGGCGTCGCATCTGGCTGCCGCCGGAGGCCGAGTGCGGCCTCTGTGTTAACTGGCGCGTCTCGACGTTTTGGCTCGGAAAGGTACTGGGGGACCGTGGAGGTGGTTTAAGTCTCTTAAGGTTCAAACCACCGGGAGTGTCCCCTACCGACTGACAAGTCTTCTTCAACCAGCCACCGGGAGGCTGCCCAGCCCAGTGTCAGTGGGAGGGGGTTCATGAAGACGACATGGCACTCGAAAATAAGAGCACTCCCACAAAGTCCAAATTGTTTCTTTTGGTTTTGAAGAACAAGTGAGCCTGTCGCAGCTACGCTTGTCGCCTGCGGTGCAGAGTGGACGGTCGAGAAAGGGCAAAAGGAAGAGAAAAACCTCAGAGTCTCTGATGAAGTTGATTTTGGGAACTTTGCGATGTGTGTGTTTGTGTTCATCACTGCCACAAATTGACGGGCTGTTAGACCGTTTGTTGGGCTGCGAGTACTTTCCCGAGATAGATTTGAAGCCAGAGGGTATCATCGGGTCGAAGTAGCACCTGCCAGTGAAGATCAACACAAGACAACTTTCTGGACTTGCTATGGACACTACGAATGATTTAAGGCGATGCCCTCGGGAGCCGGAACTGAGTAATGTCCAAAGACGCATGAATGATTTTTATTCAGAGACTGGCTTGATGGATTTGTTGTGGTATACGTAGATGATATTCTTGTATTTTGTTTAGTCAAATCATGACTCAAATGTTAAAAAGAGCATCCTAACCATTTACGGACAATGTTGTCAAAGTTAAGGGAAAGTAGCTTCCGGCAGGTATACCCGAAGAAGTGCAAGTGGGCCAAGCAGCAAGTGTTGCATCTTGGCAATGGTATAGACGGGGAGGGAATGCAAAATTACGATGAAATGATCCGGTTGTAATTTACTCCCAATTTCCCAAACGGATGCAATTCACAAATGAAAGTTCGCCAGGAGATTCACACCACACCAAGAGAGACAATCGAATGAGAAAGGATTGAGCAACCTTAAAGAATGATCAATTATATGACAAATGAGAGTTTGCGGCTTCTGCTGCACACTCATTCGGGACCTCGCCATGTAAGTAACTGATTCCCAAGAGTCCCAACCCCTTCTCTCTCTCTCTCTCTCTCTCCATACCAACCCTTGGATCAACCCTGAATACAATCGCCTCTGACTATCTTCCTCCTGTACGGCTATGGCCGCCAGCCCTAGCTACTTCACCCTAGCTATGGAGATCTACAAGGCGCCTTCTTCCTCCTCCGGCTGCTTAGTCCAGGTCGAGTGATCGCACAAGCAGCATGCAACACTTCCGCAAAATTTGCGCAACTCTGAATGAATGGGGCGTTGCACTGTAGCAGCTATAAATAGGAGCTTGGGCTGAACTGACCTGCTTCCAACTGGTACTGGTCACCCGCGGCCTGTCTGCTGCTTCATTTTGTCAGTCCGGTAGCGTCCGGACTTTCCTGGGATGCTGCTGCAAAATTGGACTTTGGGACTTCTACTTTTTCTTCTGTCGGTACCGGAGTGACTTCTAGCAACCTGTCTATTCGGCTACTGGTCGGACCTAGCCTACGACGCTTCAATGTTACAAACCCTAAACCCTACAGTCCCCACCTTGGGACTTTACCTACCGGAACCAGTTGGGACTGGTACCAACTGGGACGGTGACAATTCAGGACCCCGGAGCCCGGACTTGGGATGTTTGCAGAGTGGTATCCTTTCAATAAACAGAGGATATAGTTTAAATGAACAGGCCTCGGGCGGACTACAGCCGTAGATAGATGAGATGCTTCGTGTCACCTCACGCTCTGGCCAGACCTGGCGAAATTAGCACCCAGAGATTGGTCCACTCCAGCACCTAAGACTCTTATTGAACTGCGTTTGTTCCTAGTACTAACAAATTACCGCCGTAATTTGTTAGTCCCAAATTACCGCAGTAATTTGTTAGTCCCAGGAACGAATGGTAGAGTACCGAGCATTCGTGCACAATTTTTTTACCATCGCAGCGGCGCAGCACCACTACAGTAGACTGCTGAAGAAAGGATCAGTCCGGTTGCTTATCGCCGGCTGCTGCGGTGGGACAAAGACTGCTGCTGCAGTGGGACAAAGACTGCTGCTGCGGTGGGACAAAGACTGTACTCACACATTCCGTAAGTTGAAATAGGAACTGATTCAGTCTGATTGAATGCCCCTTTTTTTTTTCCATTTTTTTAAAAAGAAACACACAGGCCCTTCTATTGTGGGAGGCATCAGTCCGGTTGCTTATCACCGGCAAGCATGGTTTTTTTTTTTTCAAGAAACACACAGCCCCTTCGGTTCGGGGGGGCATTAGTCCGGTTGCTTATCACAGGCAAGCATGTTTTCCAAGCAATGAGGGAGAAAAGACAAGAAAGGGAATGAATGCCCATTTTTTTTTTATGCCCCATCTATTCGGGGGGGGGGGGGGGGGGGGTCCTGTTGCTCATCACCGGCAAGCATGTTTGTACATGAAAAAGAAGCAGAAAGAAAACAAGAGTAAGACAGACAAGACAAAGTTACAGCCACACTTGCAGCTCTAGCCGCTTACACAAGGGGGGGGTCTGCTTCGGCCGTTCTTCCCCCAAACCGTGACTCGTTTACAGGAGTGCCCCATTTTAAAGATAGGATCACCCCCCCCACCCCCCTCCTCCTCCCCCCCTCTTCCTACTAGAAAGCAGGACCTTATGGTCCCGGCTCCATGTCCATTCTGGGGAGCGTCAGTCCGGTTCCTATTCCACTGGCAAGCTAGCCTACCAGCCGGGCCGCTCGGGTCACCCAGCCGTGCAAGGGCCAGAGAATGTCCCAGCAAAAAAAAAAAAACAAAAAAAAAAACGATGTTATGCAGAAAAATGAACTGAACAACTTTTGCCTCAGGGTCACATCGGAAATTCTTTACCCAAAAAAAAATAAATTAAAAATTAAAAAATCACTTTTTTTTTTTTTTTTTTTGGCCCGGCCGGGCAAGTAGTCCCGGGCCACTCTGGCAGCCTAGCCGGCAAGTCAGAAGAACATGATACAACATATACCCACTCACGCATCCTTCAGTCCCATTTTCAAGATAGCCAGTTTGTTTACAGTTTTTTCAATTTCAAAGATATTTTCATGCTCTCTCTCTCTCTCTCTCCCCCCCCTTCTTCTTCCCACCGTCTTGTCCCTACTTAGGGTCTCGTTAGACACTCCTAAAAGAATCCTAAATTTTTTAGGACGAGTCGTAAAGGATTTTTAGGATTTCGTGCGGCGTCGTTACACGCAATCCTAAAAATCATCTTTTAGGATTCGACCTAAAAGGTCTCCCGCGGCCGGTTTTCATATGCGTATACGCAACCGCATCACCAATGTCCGTCCAATCCCCACCAACGGCTACCATTTGTGGTCGTTGCCCGCGTCGACCCGCAGAAAACCGCCGATGTCCGACCACTGACCTGACGGACCGCTTCTGCACCAGCAAATCCGTGTCGACAGTGCCATGCGCGCGACGCAACGAGTCCGTGAAACGCGGGAATCCTAAATTTTTCAGTAGGTTGGGGGCTACTGGAAAATTTAGGACGATTTTGCCTGGGGAATCCTAAATCCTTTAGGACTCGTCCTAACGCCGTTTTCACATTTTCAATCTCAAAATTGGATTTAGGATTGCGTGCAACCAAGACGCAATCCTAAAAACAGGCACTTTTAGGAGTGTCTAACGAGACCCTTAGTTGCTATCTCTGTTTGTTTGGTTGTTTCACTTGTTAACTTGTTATCTTTGACATGACCCTTATGAGTTCATGCATGATTGTGACCTGCCCAGGTTGGGTTCATTGCACCTAGTATTGGTCTGGTATTTTCCCCTATTTCAATCTCCATGCCTTGTTCTGATATATGCTTGGCCACGGGTTACCTCCTTTCTCACCTCATTTCTCACCTCTCATTTCTCACCGCTTATTTCTCACCTCATTAGCAAGTCGTTGATTTCGTGGTACTCGTCTGCGAATTCCAGAACAGTCTCCAAATACTTTTGGAATTGCATGTTTTTCTCCAGAATACTGCTTGTCATGACTTTCTCCTTCTGGAGCTCCTCAAAGGTTGCTTGCAGCTTTTCAATCTCTGCTTCCTATGCTGGCATCAACAGGGTCCTCTGTAAGAGACTGCATTACCGAGATAAATCTTCCTGGCCCCCCCCCTCCCCCCTCGGTTCTGGAATGTCACACATTTCATTCAACCAACCACCCTCTAGCTTCTTCTTTTTATTTTTATTTATTTATTAATTAAAATTAAAAAAAAAAACAAGAAGCCGAACGCATAATACCGTCTTCACCTGCATAGGACGCCCGGTAATTATCGCCGTACCTCGGGTGAAAGTTGTGCCCAAAAAAAAAAAAAAAAAAAAAAAAAAAAAGTTGTGCCAATTTGCCAAAAAATACAGCTATAATGACCGGGCGTTCTATTCGGTTCGGGTAAAGACGGTAGGGGTGCTCAGCCTGATAAGAGCAGGTACCACTACCGGTACCACTCTCGTGGAGATGTGGGTTTGAGGAAGGAAACTCAACGCTATTTCCGCACATCTCCACGAACACGTCCAGATTCAGGCGTTCAGGAAACTCCAGGCTTGCTCGTGGGACTTGGCCCCCGGCTGGAAAGCAGGTCCAGCTTCTTTTTTTTTTTTTTTTTTTTTTTTTTTTCCGGGAAGGTCCAGCTTCTGAACACCCCTCTAGCAGAAGTCGTTTATATCTCTCGCAAAGCATTATGACCAGGGAAAGCCACCTCGCCGGTGATGAGGCCTTTTTTTTTTTTTT